GAAGAACCCGAGAGAGATGAGGGAGTGTCGGGGAGGTAGAAATGAGCTGGAGGGAGGCTGTGAGGATGAGAGGGTGTGTACGGTGTGAGGAGCGTGTGGACAGATGGGAACGACAAGACGAAAGATCAGGGTGTAGTGGATGAAGAGGGTCATCTAGAATCTTATGAGCAAATTTAAAACAAGAGCTGATGTGACCATCAATGAGATCTGTGATTAATGAATCGATGGGAATAATTTATGCACGACTGGTGATCTCCAAACCACGGTAAATTGTTTTGAAGTCTTGTTTTAAAAGACCGGGACACACTACAGGGAAACAATAGAGTAGAATGGGTAAAAGGCATTGATGAACGAAGGATGACAGGACTGACTGTGAGGTTCGGAATTACCTGAGTTTGCGTAACTGAAAAGATAGGCGTCTCAATTCTCCCATACAGTAGTAAATGGGTAGACCAATGAAGATTGCTGTCGATGGTAACACCCAGGTAATTGACTGAGGTCATTCTGGATACAGGTTTACCGTTTATGGCGGCCGAGTTCGTTGGAAATGCGGAGCGGGAAGACTGAAAATACACTGCACGCACTTAGATCGGTTAAGACTGAGACCAGATTGGTCAGAAAACTGGTGGATTTGGGATAGGTTTTCGGTAAAAGAATAAAACACCGAAGGAGATGCAACTGTCTGACACAAAAAGACGTCATCAGCATATTTTTGGATGTGCGCAGGGAGTGGGACCGAAAGCTCACTAATAAAGGCAGAAAAAAGATATAGAGATAGAACAGCACCCTGAAGAACACCAGAATTGTTAACAAGAGATTTTGATGTCTTCCTTCCTAATTTGGTGCACTGGACCCTCTCTGTGTAAATTAGTCGACAAGCCATGAGAGCAGTTGTTTTGGAGTGCCAAAAGATTCAAGTTTGAAAAGAAGGGATGATCACAAAACTGAATCAAACGCAGACAAATAGTCAATAAAAACACAACGGACAAACTTGGCCGAATTGTTCAGTGACTTGCTGACAAAACGCATCGGAGTGGACACAGGGACCAATGTAGATTTGTTTGGTTTATATGCAAACTGAAGGAGGTCATGAGGAATTGTGGTGTCTGACTGAAGCGGAATCAGAATGGCTTTTTCAGTAAACCTTAGAGCCGCTGAGGACAGCACGATAAGATGAAACCGTTTCGCAAGAACAGTTGAGGACGTGGATTTGGGAATCGGAATAATGGCCAACCCTTTTCAATTTGGTGTTGCTTCCCTAGCTGGGGCAAGTGGCTCATTTTGGAATAAATCACTTTACAGTTCTACTATCCCAGACTGCTGGAGGCTGGTCCCAATCATACCTATCCCTAAAGCACCTAATTCTGCTGTCCTCTCCAAACGTTGGTTGAAAAGACTGGCCTCAGACACCTTAAGCAATCTATAGACATCCCCAATGCTCGGTTGCATACAAGCCTAGCAGATTCACTTTAGATACAGTCTGTAACCTTATTCATTTTATCATTAAGTGTTTGGTTAACTCTGTGCGGTATTTTTCCACTATTCTTTATCATCTGATCTCATTCGTCGAACAACGTTGTTATAGAAAATGGAATCATTAGAACGTCCCCAAACAATTGTTAGCTTGGCTGTCCAACTATTTTGCCGATAGCGAACAAACTAATAGGCTTAGAAAGCTTCATCTAAACACCTAGTCAACAAATCCGGAGTTCTTCAAGAAGCTACGCTATCCCCATACTTATTTCTCCACCTAAATTTGCGATATTCCTTGTGTGTCTTCTTCACGTGCGAATGATGTGCTGTGCTGTGCTACGATCTAAACTTCACCGACAAGATTGGTCAAATTCAGTCATTCTCCTCCAAGACGGGACGAAGCTTGAACTCCAGCAAATGTGTCTAATTTTTATATAGTTTTAAACCCTCGTCATACCCGAAAGACCCCACAGTGAGAAATAACAATCCTTTATCTGGGATAAACTCTGTCAAACATATTGATAACGGTCTACCTCGGCAACCCACATCCCCAACTACATTGACAACCTGCGGTTCCCCATCTTCTCAAGTTCGAAAGCTCAGACAGGTTCGCGCATCCCAGTCAGTTATTGCTACTTTTGTGTATCAATATGCATTCCCATGTCTTAGTTTATTGTTCCCTGGCTTACTTAAACAGGATTTCAGTCTTGCGCCGCAGTCTAACTATTATTAACCGCGCCTCTGTGAATGAATTAGCTGTGAAACTTTCAGAGTATCATATAACTTCCTGCGTGAGATTTGTGGACAGGACTCTCACAGATCCTGATTACCCACTGCACACAGA